CCAATGAAAATTTGATTCCTACCACAAAAAAAATAGCTTTACTGTCGATTCTGCAATCAAAGCAGGAGTGAAGTCGCAGATGTGTTGATTGTGAGTTGATTGTGATAAAAGTTTGTAGCTGTTCATTTGTCCTCAGCCATTTACCATGTCTCTACCGTATTTGTCTGTAGAAACATCCCTTAGAAATGTGATGTATTTCCACATGTCTGAGGAAGTAAAAAAAAAAATTAAAACTAATTTATTATCATCCAACTTGAATCATTCCTTTTCCTTTGGGTTACCAGGTCTGTTTCTATTTCAAGTGAGTAGCAAATAGATGCTTGTACATCTATAACAGTGTAATGTGGTAAAATGGGGAAAAAATTAAGGGAACAAAAATAAATGAATCGATTTTTGAAAGACCAACATAAAGTTGTATGCAATATACACAATTTGAATAATTGTCTTACAAATAAAACATCTAGAAAAGTTGCATTGTGTAAAGGTATTTCTTGCCCTTCAGAGAATACCTAGCTGCATTTCCATTGTTTAGACCTAGGGTGTGTCTCTACTAGCTGTGAACATCTATTGTCTGAATATTTGCCCATTCTTCTTTGACAGCCGAAGATAAGTCAAATTAGATGGAGAGCATTTGCAAAGATCAGTTTTAGATTTTGCCACATATTCTCGGTTTAGGTCAGTACTTTCACTGGGTCATTCTAATGCATGTATATGTTTTCTTTTAAATCCCTTCCATTGTAACCCTGGCTTTATCTTAAGTGTTGTTTTCCTGCTGAAAGGTAAACCTTCGCTCTAGTCTGAGGTCATAAGGTCAGACTCTTAACAGGCTCTCTTCCTAAAGTTTCCTGTATTTGGCTAAATCCATCTTCCCATCAAGTCTGACCACCTTCCCTGTCCCTGCTAAAGCACCCTCAGTGCATGATGCTGCCACCACCATATCTGTTAGTAGGCATGGTGTGTTTTAGACTGAAATGCAGTGTTAGTTCTCTGACACACACAGCCTTTTGTATTTAAGCTTTTCTCTTTTGGTCTCGTCTGACCAAACTACACCCTTCCACATGCTTACTGTGTCCCCAACATGGCTCCTGGAAACCTCTAAGGCAGGGGCAACCAATTACAAATAATTTTGGCCCGAATAAGAAAAATCAACAACCAGTAAAGGTCAGGAGACTTTTATAAATATATCCCTTACTTTAAAAGGCATTTAACACTGAAATACAATTTTACACTAAAATAAAATGCAGCTGTTTATGCATACATGTTATACATTAGATTTTTAAATAAAAAAAAATCTTAAAAACATAGAATATTTATTCAATTTTAGAATCTAAATTGTTTTTGAAGTAGAGAACAATAATCTTTCAGTTTGGTATACAGACAATTTCCTGACTCACACTTTTTATAAAACACCTGAACTGACCGTTTTTTTTTCTTCCCTTTCTTTTCTATGGCTTAATGAGAGCAGTGGGCTTTATGCTGCCCTGCAAGGCCTAAAACCTGGGTTTGAATGGAGACAAAGCCATTCTAAAGCATATGTGCTCATTATGAGCCTGGATCCATATTTATTTTTGATTCTTTTCATGGTGGAGAATCCTTCTTCACTGCAGCAGGTTGAGCCAAACATACTCCAAATGTGCAGGGTCATCTTTGAGCACGCCATTTCACTTTTCTTTCTCTAGTTCACCGCAGTTCATCCAGCAGTCTACACTTTTTCTGGTCTCTTTTTCTCATCGTCTTCTCGGCTTGCCACAGGTTTGCTTGCTGTCTCTAAAAGTAGCAGCAGCAGCAACCCAGACTTACAGCAGCTCATTGGCTAATTTGTATCATGTGCAGCCTGGTGCCGGACGCTCCGGAGGGTTTTACCATACAAATAGGAGAAGCAGAGCAAGTGACATTTAGACTCTCTCTTTGGACAACATGCAGTAATTTATAAATGTTTAAAATCAGGTTGGGTCCAGTTAAAATCAGTTTTAAATGCCGGATTAGCCAGCAGGTGGGTCAGACCCTGGTCTGCTTATCTGTGATCTCTACTCTAAGGCAATCACAGAGCAGCTGTATTTTACTACCATAAGATAGACACACAGGTGGACTCTATTTAATCATTAGCATCATTAGATTTCTGAAGGTAATTGACTACCTAAGATGAAATTTGAATGATTTTTTTTTTTTAAGAAATGTTTTAAATCTTGAATAAATTTTGTCTATTGTACTTTGTTCTGGTGTTTCACGTGAGTGTGTAGCAGAAACTACACTTTATATCATACTGAACCGACCTCCCCCATCATAAAACATGGTAGCGGCAGCATTGTGCTGGGGGTTGCTAGCAATGTGAAAAAAGCTGGTCACAGCTGATAAGATCATGGATGAAACAAAATACAGTTTAATTGTGGAATAAAATTGGTCAGAGGCTGTATAAAGTTCAGTAGTGTAAATGGTATATCCTGAGGAATAATTGAAAGTATTTTATTACAGCATATTCATGTGTAGCTCAGCCAAAGTTTAGGCCTAAATCTATTTAAGAATCTAAAATAAGGTTTGAAAATGAATGTTCAAAGATGTTCTGTGTATAAGCTGGAAGAGTTTCAGCTTTTTTGCATTGAAGAATTGGAAAAATCATAGATGTACAAAACATTGACTCCTCAAAAGACTACTTGTCACAAAATGTGTCTCTAAAACATAACCATAAAAACCTTTTTTTTTTCATAAAATAAAAAAGGTAGAGGACAAAATGTGGAAAAATTGAAGGCCCTTTTTAAAGCCAGTCTCCCACTTACAGCACAGTTATCTGGACTCTCTGGTGCACTGATGCTAACAAGCGTCCTGCCTGCTGTGCCTGTGCTCGGTTTGGTGTGGTGTGGGGGATTAATGAAATGGTGGCACATAAAGGAGATCCATCTGCACCCAGACACTCCTAATGAGCAACCAGAGCCTCCACTTATGGCTTATGACATGCTGAGGAAGCAGGACTGCTTTTGTTTTCAATGGCTTTGCCTTTAATGGTGACAAAGTGAAGTTTTCAATCTACCAAAGTGCATGTGGAGCCAGTATTATGTGCACACCATGTCAACATTTTGTCCCTTTCCGTAGAAAGCTTTTTTTTAGATACTTGTGACATCCTGCAGCACAATACGTTTTTAGAAATGTCCTGAATAGGCTTTGGTGTTAAATCCAAATTATGATGCAGACTTTTACAAAATTATTATAGTCTAAAAAAGTAATACAATTGCTTCTTTTGTTAAAGCCTCTCAGTTCAGAATAGGTGAAATGTAACAAAACAGATTTATAGAAATAATCTAGGCTCCTCTTCCTTGTGCAGCAGATTTATTTTATGAAAATGCATAAACAGAAAAATGTTTTTCTTAAACTAGGATCAAACAGAGACCCGCTCTTTCACTCTCAACCAGAAGTGAAATGTTTTTCCTTAAACTTTCTTTATAAAACTGCAAATTCTTTCAAAATTGCAATTCATCAAAAGTAAGGTTTAGTAAAAAGCTGCTCTTTATTGTTGCATTTATTATGCAAAAGAATCAAGGAAGGTGTACAGGTTTTAATATTTTTTTCCTGTCATGCTACCTCAAACACTCAACAAAAGATCCTTTTATTCATATTAAAAAAATGTATTGTTAAATTAATACAGAGAAAATCCTATATGATGTTTCTTCTTTGAAGCTGAAGGGAAACATTTCACGGTTTAAGTATTTAAGCGGTCTGTTGCACCGTTATTCAGGTGGGGGTTTAGACCATCAGCTGTGAATAGAGAGGGAGCAGCCGTTCAGCTGGTGAGGGCAAGCAGTTCAAAGTGACAAGCTGAACCAGCACAGAGAGCCCACCTGACCCACCACAACGCTGTGGACACGGGCAGGGAACACACTCACACACAACAAGCAGCAACACACACTTAAATAGATTCAAGTCTAGTTACAATCCGAGGTCCAGTGAGAGTGGCATTGATCCATATGTAACTTAGCTGATGATCCGAACTGTGTGTGAAGTTTACACTCCATTTAGCATCAATGTGTGTTTGTCTGCATGTGGTGAGGGCGAGTGGCTGGTAAAAGCCCTGCATAAATAGAGCAAATGATCAGCCTTTTCAATAAAGAAAAAAGAAAAACGTCCAACAATTCAGAGGAATAAAATGATGTATTACCAAAACTACAGAATTAATGAGTTTTATGTATTTTCTGTACCCACTGCCTGCCTACCAGGCTGATTTGTTCACAAAGGAAACAAAACAAAACACAAACTTAGTTTTACAGAAAGGGTAATAATGTTATGGTTACTCTGAAAGAGAGGAAATGTTAAAAACTTGAAATCATAGAGTTGCATTAGTAATGTCACCTTTTATAATTATTTATGAACATTGTTTGAATTTAATACTGTGGACATAATTATTCACTAAATAACCATTACAGTTAGTTCGTTATAAAAAAGTTATTCTTCAAAGGCACATCATGCAACCTTTGCCCACTAGGGGTGCTAGACCTGTAACTTTCATGTCTCTAGTGGCCACAAGCGGCGTAGCACTGTCTCAAAAGTCAACGAACAGTCAGCTAGCAGCTTCCCGTGTCTTTGATTGAGGACTGCGCTAGTTGTTTTGGTTTAGCTCGGAGGGCGTGAGAAACGCTGCTGCTCTCTGGAAAGCACTGCCGGGTAAGCCCGGACGGCATGAAGGACCAGTGGCTGAACTCCAGTGAAGAGCAACTGGGTTGAATAATGACAAAGCTATATGACTGTATACTAGGAGCAAAGAGATAACTTATCAGCCTAATAATAAAGTTAATAAAAGAAAACAGGTTTTACATTGGCTTCTTCTTTCAGCCGGCCCCAACAAACAAACTTCTTTCCAAGATTTATTCCTTGCACACGATCCCTTTCACATTTTCTCTTTTTGGCCTCCACAGAAGATTTAAACTTTTAATTTGCCTCAGCCATGAACAGCAGTTAAGCAGGCGGAAAAATTGTAGAGCAAAAGCCTTAGCTCCATGACTGCATTGCCAATTGGATGGAATTGGCCCTTTGGCCTGCATCACACATAGAGTACAGTTAAGTCATTGCCACCTACTTAGCGGCATCCCTAACCATGTTTTGTAGGGAAGTGTTGACCTAGTGGTTAGAGCAGTGCGCTTGGCTCTGAGAAGGTTGCAAGAACCCGCTTGGATCCCCACAGCCTGCACTCTGGGTTCCTGAGCAAGACCCCTAACACCAAACTGCTCCCCGGGTGCCACACAATGGCAGCCCACTGCTCCCTAAGGGGAGAGTGAGTTTCCCCACTGTGGGACAATGAAGGGATTTACATTAAATTCAGATTTGTCAGATTCGTCGGCTGATTACGTCATAGCCAGGCCAGAAGGAGTCAGTCTAGATAGATAGCCCTGCTACCATTGATATTGTCAAGCGCTGCATTTTGGCCTGACGAATCATTTAAAATAACTCATATGCATCAAGTCTTTAGGTCACAAAGTCCGTGGTGTGCCTTTAAAGTAAATAAAATTGTAGGATACAGACAGCTCCAATATACTTACTGCCCCAATATTATAAAGGTATTACATAGTCCTGTTGAAAAGTCTGTTGATTGTTTTTTTTTTTTTACCTTATTGTTTTGTTTTTAATTTATCTCTAAGCCTTCAGTTCCACTGAATGTGCAAGCAGCATACAAAAAATAACCAGTGAATTGATTATTTTACCAGTACTATCAGCGTTTCGTGTGCATGCTCTTATCTAATCCCCTTGCCTTTTTTTCTTAGGATCTTTCATGGATGTGTGAGTTTAAATACTTAGTGTCTTATGTATTTTTAATTGACTGTTGAGATGTATTACGGTTGTTAATAAACCGTATGAACATAATCTTTCACTGGATAAAAATCCTGAAAATGTAATCCACAGTCTGCAAGTAAAGTCTTTCACTTGTCAACTTGACCAGATCCTCTTTGCTTTGCATCAACTGACTTCCTGCCTAAACAATCCATTCTTCTCTAGATTGACATAAAGTTGGAGGGACAAGCTGCAAAAACAGAAAAGCAAATTTTTAGAGAAGAAGCCAGTGGCAGGCATGTCCAGGATGCTTCAGAAACGTGCAACCATTGGAACAACCCGACTGACCAGAATTACAGCGATCAGCTGTCAGACCCTGCCGGAGCTGCAGTGCAGCCCAAACATGCCATTTTCTCTTCTATTAGAACTGAGGGGTACTACTTCTAAAAAGAGTTTCAAACAATATTTCAAATGTTTATGCAACATATTTATATTTTAACTTAAACATTTTTCAGTCCAAAAATGATATTTTGATGTCTATACAACTTGATTAAGCAAGACTGAAGAAAACAAAACAGATAAAATAATAATTATAGCTACTTGAAAGTAGAATAAATCAATTTTAAAGCTGTTGTTTGAAAGAATATTTCTGATTTACTGGACGGTTGCATAAAAGCAACATAAAACGTGTAAATGCACTGTGGTTGAAAAACTGAAATGCAAACACTATTTTACATTTCTTTGGAATAAAGTGATCAAATTCTTTATCATTCTTATCCTCTCAAAGAAGGCTTGGCAAGAATAAAGCAGACAGGATGACAGCTGAACAGATGAGGCACCTAGAGTATGTCTAATCTCCTTCTGAAAGCGCCTCACAGAAATGGCTGGGAGCTCCGAGGGGCAGACAAGGAAAAATTGGGGCATTCTGTACAGTAAAGCCATTACAGACGTCTTTAGTTTTCTTTATGATGTGATCTTGACAGCTGTGAGGATTGAGGAACATTCCACCATGCAGAGTCTTAGCAGCTGGGACAAGAATTGATATTCTCCTCCTTTGGTTTGTTTTCTAGACTTCATCATTTAATGAAAAATATAATTTTTCTTCTTTAATGGGTTTTTTGTTTTTCAGCATTGTATTGTCATCACAATGTTACAAGTACAGATCAACGAAACTCACCCTCTGCATTTAAGCCATCCCCTCGGGATTCCAAGCTCTATCCCCTAAGTACTAAGCTGCCACCTCCCCATCTCTTGTGGAGGTAAGAGATGTTTATGAACAAGCACAGAAAGAGGAATCTGAACCAGATCCTTCCCCTTCCAAATATTGTTAGTCTAAGAATCATTCTTACAAAAAAAGCTTTTAGTCAGAACCATTTAAATACACAGGACAGCTATAAAATATTACAGAAATGCATTTAAACAATCTTAGTGTCATGGTCTTCTTCCTACTGTGCTTTACTTTGCTCTATGTTTCCTAGTTTTATCGGTTTAATTTCTTTTTTGTTGCAATTTCTAGATTTATGTTAGTTCTCATGTTTTTCTGTTGCCCTCTTGTGTGTGTGTTCCTTTCCCCTTGGCTCCCTCGTTGTCTCCCCTCACACCTGCTCCTTGTCAGCTCGTTAGCCCTCCCTTTGTCTCTGTCAGCTATATATGCTCTCCCTCTGCTCTCACTCTTTGTCTGTTCCTTGTCTTTGCTGTCCTCCCATGCTGTTGTCCACCTACCTCGTCTCTCCCTGGCTCCTCGTGTTTGGTTTCCCCAGATGTCTCCATAGTTCTGGTTTGCTTTTGATTATTAGTTGGATTTTTGCATTCCTGCTTTTGTTTACTGTTTTGCCCCATTCAACTGCTAGAAATCTCCTCAGCCTCTCTGCCTCAACATTTGGGTCCTCCAAACCACAACCAAACCCTGACCCTGACCCTTAGTAATTTTTGTAATTTGTATTTACATTTAACATATTTATACTTTTGGGGAAAAAAAGGATTTGCTTTACTTTATTTATCATTACCTACCGCTGCTGTGCAGAATGGTACATTACGGTACATAAATTCCTAAAGTTATCACCGAATACATTTATTCTCCACACACACACATATATATATATATATATATATATATATATATATATATATATATATATATAACCATAATTATAAACTTTTTAATTTAACTTTATAGATTTATTGACATTAGAGACATTTATCTCTCCATTTAACCCATCCCCTTGGGGAGCTGTGGGCTGCCATTGTGCAGCACCTGGGGAGCGAGTTACAAGTTAATATTTATTTATCGTCAATCCATATATTGCTGTTCCTTTGGGATGTCAAAGATGAGCCCTTTTTCTCAGCTGCTCTTCAAAACAGAAAAGACAAAAATAAATAAAAAATCTGCGTTAATTATCACAAATCAGACTATTAGATATGTTGAGTCTGTTACTTCCTTCCACTGAAGACTTTTTTAGAATTTTTAAAATCTATTCTTATCTATATTCTTGTAGCTTTGTGGCCTCTTTCTTCCTCGTTGACATCGCTCCTTTGATGTGTTCCCATGTTTTTATGTTTTCCCTGTTTTCGAATCGATGCCTTTTCTTTTTACTCAGTTTTTGTGTGCATCATTATCATCCCTGGTATTGTTTAGTTTTGGACTTTTTTAGGGCATCTATTGGTGTCCCATGTCATGCCTATTAGTTATTTAATACCTTGGGCATTCTGTTAATTGTTGTTAAGTGTGGTCTATAAATAAACTAGAAAAACACTCAGAGTGCAGACCTCTATGAAGCAGCAAATTTTCACCTGTATTGTGACTTACACATACAGCTAAAAGTCACACATGATCTGGATCATTACCAAATTTTAATGAATTGATCCTTGACACAAGGAACACCTCTGATAAAAATTTTGTTAGAATCCGTTTGTAACTTTTTCAGTTATCCTGTACACAGAAAGAAAAAAGGAAACCTTAGTTTCTTTTAAATCTATTTATATTTAAGAACGTTCACACATTGTGTGTCTCCCTTTTTGTGTAACATCAGTAAAAAGGTCTGCAAAGCTCAATATTAAAACATATTTTTCAATCTAAAATTACAATGCTTCTAAAAACAATCACTTGTTCTAAAGGTTTTCATGTGGTTACCAAATGGTAACTAATTACCTAAGTACCTACGTTCTAGTTTTATTTTAGTTTGTTCAATTTTACCCAGCTTTAACAAAAAAATATTTCATTTTGCAAATCAATTAATCTGTTGATTATTTTTTCGCTTAATCGATAAATAATAGCATAGTCAAAGGTTCCTTAAATAAGATCTTTTACGAAAATAAACCAGCTGAAACAAAAACTTTTCACTTCAAGGAGTTCTGAATAGAGCATATTAACAAATGAAAAGTTTTTTTTTTTTATCTTAAATGAAAAATATTTATATATATTTTTTAATTTTGATGTAAATACTGCTTTAAGTGAGTGGCTTAAAACATTGTAAAGGCATGTTTTAGAGTTTCTAAACTCCAACTAACAATCAATCAATTACTAAATTAGTTGACTATTATTTCAATAATCGATTAAACGGATAATTGTTTCAGCCTAATACAGACATAAACATTAAACTAGCTTGCTGGATTTTCCTACCAAGTGAATATTTATAGGAAATCAGATTTATTTTATGCTTTCATATTATAAAAGATGTAAATGCAGCTTTGGAAAGTTCTTTATTATCAGATTATGTACTACTGACCTAAACAGTTGTTCTTATGCTTTGAAAAGCCTTGCAAATGAAAAGGAGTGCATCTGAATGGCAGAGCACGGCAAAACCACCCATGTAAAGAGTAATTTCACACAACAGTTTGCTGTATTGGATTTCTAAAATAAAAACGTTTACAAGCTGCTTCTGATCTAACAGCTGTGCTGCTTGTAAGGCACACCCAGCTGACACTGATTTTGAGTGCTCTAACACTATAGTTAGACTATAATGATTACTAGTAATGATCCACTAAAAGCAGTGTGTCCAAAGAAATGTCGCTGGAAAAACTAATTATAATTACTTATGTGTAACAGGTGACTTTGCTCTTAAATAAACCTGTGTGGAAAGTATGATTATAAAGTAGCAGTCACAAAGTCAAGACTCTTGTTTCCTTCAGGAAACCGTTTTAAAAATGTTAAGTGGAACGCCAGCTAAAAAAAAGCATGTTTTCCCCAGCCTCAAATCATCTTATAATCCATAAAATTACAGCCCATAAAAAAGTTAGATTTTAAAAACTATTTCCTAATCTGGGAAGGAAAAACCATTAAAATACACAAAGGCCTTCAACCAACACCTAATTAACGCAGCAACCTTTCTCTCATGCTGGCAATCATCTTCCCTATCTGCCAGATTAAAGACGTGAATGCAGATTAGAAATAGCCAAATGCAAATAAAAACCAAGGCAGGGAAGGGCAGGATAGCAAGACGGCAGGAGAAACCGAGATACTGCAGAAGTCAACTTTTCTGCTGCCCACGGTTCTGTCAAGTTAACCGTGTCATTTTAGTAGAGGGGAACAACGCTTAGATAACTGTTCACGCTGTGTATTTCAGCACTTGTGTGTCTCGTGCAAAACTCGAATCATCTGTGACAGCACTGGCAGTTGAAAATATTTTTGGAGACTGCCTCACTAAGCCTTACAAAGCCATTTTGTAGCTGCTCCTAACTTAAAGCGACTGTGACATAAAGTTAGAACTACCTCTAACAGCAAAAGTAGTGAACAATCAAGCTGGATTCAAGAAAAGACAGAACACTTTTACCTAGAGGAAGGATCATTATGAGGCTCCGTCCCAAAACCTGGACGCATTTGTTCTCAGTGTTTTTTGTTTTTTTTGCTGACCTTTGCTGATCGTAGGTTGACTCCTTTCTGCGACAGTGGAGGGTTACCACTCGATGGCCTTCGCTCCTCAAGTCCTGGCTGACAATCCACTGAGTGGGGTTGCAGGGACGTGCTCCAAGGAACGTCACTCCTTCTTTTAATTTGACCCTATGGAGAAAACAAATCAGCTGTTTACACATTCACATCCACAGAAAAGCCTGGACAACAGGTAAATAATGTTGGCCAAGTCCTCGCCTTTAATAATATTACAAAAATCTGTATAAAACTCTTTAGACACATCTAAACTTCCCTAAACGTAGAAATAAAGTAATTTCAGCCACATTTTATGACTGCTCAGACAGAAAGGAACATCATGTTCATTGTAATCCAGAGAAAGATTGATTCAGGTGGCTGTGTGTAATAAGACTCCTTCTCAGAGCCTGGATTCAGTATATAGTTCCATCTTATCAATATAAAACATTTTCATCCAAAAAGACAAATTAGTGATATATATTTTTTTATCATTTTGTGTGTTATAATAGCTCACAAGCATGTAACTTCATATAATCTGGTTTTGAAAGAATAGAAGCCTTTTTTTTGTTTGTTTTCAAATTTATTTCTTAAAATAATATAGGAAAATAGAACACAGTTAATCTTTATTCTAACATTTCCCAAATGAATGAAATATAAGGAAAATAACGAGTCTATGAATTCATTTTCTAAACTCCCTATGGGTTTTTTCAAGGCACAAGCACCAAGTTAGAGAAGACAGGAGGATAAGAATAACACTTGAGGATATTTATTAGCAGCTTAGAATGTTTTTCAGAAGTTGATCATTGAAAGATCATAGCAGTAACTGTTACAGTGGCAAACTGCTATTAAATAAGACCCCTAACCAATGTATTGTTGTCATACTGACAGTGTTCAATTGTTTATTAACACGAAATTCTTATGGTTCTTTCCTTGTGGACTTCTGTTTGAGTTTCTTTCTAAGTTTTCAGTTCCACTTTGATTTATGTTATTCTGTTTCTTCTTTTTCATTGGTTTCTTTTCCATTTTGTGTTATTTATATGCAGCTTTGTATTTCTTGGGTTACTATTTTTCTCCCCCTTGTGCCTGTTTCCTTCCCCTTGGCTCCCTTCTAGTTACTTTTATTCACACCTGCTCCATATCAGCTCATTAGGCCATTCTTTGTTCTGTTACCCATATATACACCTCCTCTGCAGTTCCTTACTGCTGGTTTCTGGTTAAATTTGTTGCTTTGTCATTTCTTTGCTCCCCATGTGTGTTTTCCCTGATGTTTCCTAGAATTTTTGAATTTCTATATTTTGTGGTTTTGGACTTTGCTTCTGTTGCCTGTGGGATTTTAAATTAAATCAGCAAAACTCATCTCTGCCTCCTAATCTCTGCAAAATCCTCCACTAAACCTTGGCACAGACATATTTTAACAATTTTATGCACTTTAATACAGGATGTATAAAATCACAAATGAATTATTCAAATTGAGAATAATTTGGAAAACTGAACTGTAAAACCTCAAAGAGGTTCCGAAAATAACACACACACACACACAAAAAAAAAAAAGATACTGGAAAACACAGTAAGATGTCAATTCAAGTATGCTTAAAATGAGAAAGTGCTGCACAAAGAGAGAATCCCGTTGTATCACTGAATGTTCCTCTCTCTCTCTCTCTCTCTCTCTCTCTCTCTCTCTCTCTCTATCTATCTATCTATCTATCTATCTATCTATCTATCTATCTATCTATCTATCTATCTATCTATCTATCTATCTATCTATCTATCTATCTATCTATCTATCTATCTATCTATCTATCTATCTATCTATCTATCTAAACCAGAGTGACTAAATTAATAGGTGCAAGATCCCAATGATGTGAGGTGAGACATTTTTAAGTTCCCCTCGTTATGCAGGATCAAAGCCTAAAATTCAGCTACATTTAAAAATTATGGGGAAATACTCCCTCTGCACTTTTACTGCCTTCTCTCATCTATTTCAAAGTTTGAGTCTAAAATATTTCTCTCATTTTTTAAATCACAGCCAACTTAATCTCAATAACAACACTAATAATTAAACTGAGGATTGCTCAATGAGAAATAATAAGCAGAGATTTTGAAAAACCTGTTTATAAATAACTAAACAAGAAATATTTGAAAGCTGTAATACTGATTCAGTTTACTATACTGCGCTTCTTGGTAATCGGTGATGAATAAGCACCCAGGCCGCTGCCCTCCAAATAAAAAAAGCAATGCATTTTTAAAATCAATATGGAAACCAACAGAAATCCTGTGAAGAGGGGATAAAGGGAATGAAGTGGTTAAAAAATATTTATGTCTTTCTAAAGAAAATCTGTTGTAGATTTAAATCAATAAAAACTGCATGGTCTTATTCTGTTTGTCCACCTTCAGACATCCCAAAAACTCTTTGCAGGGAGATGCTTATTGGACCCCACACCCACTCTCTCTTGTTGTGCCTATGCAAACGAAATAGTTCTTATCCGTACATGGTGCATGAATTATTGTCTTGCCTTCACGCTCTCACTTGCATAGAAAAAATACACCGTCTCACATAGTCTAAAATCCGGGATAATTTATCCAACTCGCGGGCAGCTGTGAACAACTATCTGTATCAGGGATCTTGAAAGTTAAGGTTAAAGGTATAGTGGGGAATTTTCCTGATTTTTTTAAAAAGACCTGCCCTCTCCAATTTTAGAAAAAAAATGCACATGCACAACCCTGTACGCGCTCTAAGAGGAAACTTCTATTAAACGCGTGCGAGAGCATGCACAAGCCCATTTCAACTTGTTCACGCTCTGTTTAAAAGTTGCTGTTTGCATCGCTAATACAAGCTTACTTTACAAAAGATTTACAATTTTCCACTATGCCAGACTCACCACCAGTAAGTGAAAATTGGGTCGAGCAAGTAGGACGGCCTTACGTAAACATATCACCAGAATGACTGACAATAAGGAGGACCACCTATTTTGATGATCCACCCGGAAAAAGAACATCCTCCACTATACCTTTAAAGTAAAGTTAAGTTCCCCTTCAGGCTTGAGACAGAATAGGACAAATGATCAAAGCAAACTGGGCTTTCTTTGTGCAACCATTTTCGGTCAACAGAGATACGTGGTCAGGGGATGCCAGTGAGTCAGAGGCAGCAGCTCTGAACCATACTGGTTTGAGCCATTGGCTCCTATGCTTTACTGTATTTATCATAATCTACCACTGCTGTTCTGTGTAGCTGCTCCTTCATACCACATATGATGGTTTTCATGTGGACCACCAATTAATATCTGAACCAGAAACTCTTAATAAATAAATAATGATGAGGTACACTCATTTCTTTTCCATCTTAACAGCATTTTGTATTTTCCATCTTTCTCTGTATGGGTTTTTTCACAACAGATTTTAGGTCATATGACTAAATGACACAAAACCCATGCCGAATCATTATACCAGACTGGATGGATGACAAAATTACTTTATTTATTGTGGGTACCTAAGTGAACCACTGTGTGTAGGAGGAGTGAGTCAGCACAGAGCAGCCCTTCCAGGGTTGAGTTGCTGACGTCAGTTCTACCACGATGAGGTCACATCCCCGGCTAAGCCAATTGAAAAAAATCAGATGCAGCATCTCCCTTTAAATCCGAGAAGGGTACCTGATACAGGATTTCAGCAGTAAACTGTCAAATATTGCCTGAAACATTTAGACATCCCTATAAGACATCTGTTTATACAATTCATAAAAAAAAAAAAAGATTCAGAGATAAGAGACTTCAACAGAATGGCCCTGGAGTTTTAACACTCTTAATAAACAAGACCAGAGTCCTTTGACTTAATTTAAGTAAAGCTAAGATACTTTAACTATAGCGTAATAAAAAGTAAACAACTAAATATTGTAAACAGGGTAAACCTAAAATAAAAAGGTTTTATTGCAGGTTCATGTCATTGTGCATCTACTTCCAAAGGAATCAGTGACTCAAGGGAAATGAACCTCATCCCATGTCCCTTTGTGAACAAGTTCATATGAGGCTCTATGTTGTATTAACATGCCTTTGATACAGCTCTACTGCTTTTACATCCAAAAGTTATAGATTCTCTCTTTCAAAAAGAAAATAACACTTTTTTTTTATTAACCAATAGGTTTACAACATCTTACAGTAAGTGTCTTTGACTCAGTGGACTAGAAATGAGGAACTGGTCTATTGAAGTAAATGAAAATGTAAGATAATCAAATGGACCTAATGCACATAGTCTAATTTAAAGGTAAAAGCACTGACATACAATAGATTCAGGCTAATGTTCCAGTGCGTAGGATAGTGGAAAGCCTGTGTGATGTTAGCCAAGAGTGACAGTGAAGTACCATGATTGAAGACCAGACAAAATTATAACAGAAGGCCAAATCACTTTCCCGGTCCAATCCATACCAGGTTGGCAGATGAGACCAAAGACCGGCCTTCGCTTTCATCTTGAATTTGTTGCTGCCCTTTTTAGATGCAATTGCCTATCTGTCATCCTATGAATATATCTGCCCTCTCCAATCAAGCCCATTTCTTTGATGTGATACCTCGTGCTGCTGGGCTGCAGGTAGCATGTGAGAAATGAAAGCGGAATCAGTGATCAACTCTAAATCTAAGGGTCTCTTCAAAAGTGTGTGTCTTTTTTTTATCCTCAGTGCTGTCATATACGTAGATAATTATGTAAAAAGGATTTCCATCCGATGTCACTATGGTATAATGAGTGTGTATGTTTTATTTTTAGTTTTCCTAAATTGCTTTTTCTTCCAACCTGAAGAGTTAACAGGTTCCACAAAAAAATCAAAAAATATATACACATAATTATTTTGCACAGCCATGTAATCTAATTACCTTTTAGCTTAACTGACTACAGCTGTCTGTCATATTAGCTTTTCTAGTTATCAGGACATCAAAGACAATACAGAAAACACATACCTGTACATGAAAAGGTGTATTCACAGAGACAGTTTTTAGTAAATTCTCATACAACTGTTTAACTAGGATTACCCATCCTTTCCAATATAGACCCCACATACATCCACTGAAAGTAAACATTATACTGTAATGGTAAAACTTTGCAGGTGTGGGTATAAGTTCTTAGGTTATAAAAATGTGTAATATGTTTTCTCT